CCATCCCCATCCATCCATCATCCATATCATCATCCATCCATCCATCCATTCATCATCCACTGATCAATCTCCATCATCCCATCCATCTATCCATCATCCATTCATCCATCCATCCATCATCCATCCCATCCACCATTCCATTCATCTAATCTGTCTGACCGTTCCGTCCGTCCGTCGTCCAGTCCGTCCGTCGCTCCGTCCGTCCTCCATCTATGCTATCTATCTACTATCTTCTATCTAGTCTACTCTATCTATCTATCTATCTATCTATCTATCTATCTATCTATCTATCATTCTATCTTATCTATCTTATCTATCTATCTATTATCTATCTTATCTACTTATCATCATCTACTCTATCATCTATCCTATCTATATATCTATCTATCTATCTATCGCTATCTATCTATCTATCTATCTATCTATCTATCTATCTATCTATCTATCTATCTATCTATCTATCATAACAGTCTATCTATGCTATTCTACTTATCTATCTATTCTATATTTCTTCCTTTCTTCTCTTCGTTATTTCTTCTCTCTCTCATTGCTGGCGTGCTATAAACGATTTTGGACTGCAAAGTGACTGCGTACTAAATCGAGACTTCACCTGCAAAAAGGTCTTCGCACGCTGCTGTATATATCGCATGCATGTGTGATCATTTTTTTTGCGTACTAGCGGTCGCGTGCCCGGTCTGTGGGGAGGGAGCACTACAAATGATGATACTCCGTATATCTGTACAACATCTACATTTCCTGACGATCGAGTGGAATTTGGGCAAATGCGTCCCTATAGGTGTTCCTGCGCAGTATAGGCTCATGACTGGATTTGATTTTCCAGGGTGTCTACTCTTCGCGGCCGTCTACCGAGCCGACGACTGCACGGCTTAGCGACGAGCTGAGCGACGAGGCTTTAGGCGACCGCGCACCAAGGGCCATCGACGGGACCGTTTGGGCGCGCAAAAGCGCTTCCATGTCCACGGCGCTTAACCACCCAGGCATCAGCACGGACCACCCGGCTACACGGACTAATACGATTAACCGCACGAGTACAAAGACGAGCTGCGATACAAAGACGACTACAACTACTAGCAACCTGTACACTACTAGACAACATACAAACTACTAAGAACCTTAAACTACTAGACAACATTACAACTACAAGAACGACCTACCGACTGCAGACATCTTACAAACGTACTAAGCAACTTTCACGACTACAGACGCCTCGACTACAAGAGACACCCCACAAACAACAGACAACCTACAACCTTACTAGGCAACCTACACTACAAGACGGCCATCAACTTACTAGCACACCTCGAACTACAAGGACACCGACCTACGACTGCAAGCGGCCTACGACTACAAGACGGCCTACGACTACAAGACGACCTACGACTACAAGATTACCTACGACTACAAGATTACCCACGACTACTCCACATGCGATCAGATATTCAGCTAGCACAAGTACTAGCGTGACGGCGGCGACGACGCAGACCGCTCGCAAGACGACGCACCTGCGACATCATCGCCAGAGCACGGGCAGCGCACGGGCGCCGACTCGCCGCCCGCCGCCGACGCTCGGAACACGCGGGCATCGTCGGCATTGTCGTCGCCCGTCATCTGTCGTCGTCGGCCTCGTCGTCGGAGGCGGCGTCGTCTTCCGACGCTTCCGGCAGCGTGTATAGGCGCGCGCTGAGCTCGAACTTTAACAGCGACACGGACTACCTGACGAACGACGACAGTGTTGCCGACGACTACCTGGTGTGATTGTGGAAAGCCGTTCCATTGCGGCACGAGCGAGGTCTAGGCTGGCCTGCCGCCGCCGCCGCCGCCGCCGCCGCACGCCGCCCCTTCGCGAATCGTGCCTGTTTTTTTAAGATATTTATAACACTTGAAAGAAATCGTGTAAGTTATTTTGATTGTGGTGAAAATCGAACGTCAGCCGCATAGCGATCATATATATATATATATATATGCGTGTGTGCGTGTGTGCGTGTGTGCGTGCCTGCCTGCCTGCATGCGTGTGTGCGGTATCCGTGCGTGCGTGTATGCGGTGTCTGTGCATGCGTGTGTGTGCGGTGCTCGCAGGTTTAACATTAACCCGAAGATTAGTGGCCGGCGCTGATGGAACGTTTGCTTGCTCTTAAGATTGAGACCAATGATCGCCGCTACGTGATCGCATTAGCTGGACAGCGAGAGAGACCCGAGGGGTCGCCGCTTCAGCTCCGGCGATAACGAAATCGAAAAAAGAAGCCCATTCGGCGGGCTCTACTCAGTACAACGCAGCTGGCGCTCTGCAGATACCGCCGCTCTAGTTTAATAAAATGCATTCGATCTAAAATTCGACTTTAATTATGAGCGGCGACTCGTAGGACTGGTGGCGAGTGGCGATTAGAAGTCTCGCAAGCCCATTTGGAACTGAACTATTCGACTGGGAGCGCAAAGATAGCGCGTGCGGGCGACGCGACCTCTAGCGACCGTTCACGCGCGGACGCAGACGGTTCTATTTGGCGCGGAATTGCGACGAAATCGCCTTTAAACATTGAAATCGCTCGGAAAAGTAGTTTTTGCATCGAGTGATAACGCGGCGTCCCAATGATGACGTTCGTGAGAGAAATTTGCGTTCCTTTGTACCCACGCTGCGGCTCTTACAGTCAATACGTGCAGACCGTATAAGGAACGGACTAATTCGTGGAATCTATACGCGAGAGACAGTAATTAGCGATGCTACTTGAGCACGCGCCCGCGCATATTCCTTCGCATATTCCGTTCGATTTTAAAAAGAAACCCGTTGTTTTGCCCGTTTCCCCGGCAACGGCAATTTAGGCGAAAACTTTTAGGAGCTCGCTTGCTCACGCAATCAGATGCGAGAGACAAGAATTTCTGTTTCCGCGACACTTTTAATGACGCGCAAGCGCGCGCATTGAACGCGTCGAGATATGCGTTTTGGAAACATGAGCCGATCGCAAAATGTGTGCATGTGTCGAATATGTGTGTGTCCATGCGTGCGTGTGTGGGTGTCTTCCTGTGTGTGTGCGTGCGTGCCTGCGTGTGTGCATGTGTGTGCGTGTGTGTCCCTGCGTGCGTGCGTGCGTGTGTGTGTGTGCGTGTATGCGTGTGCGCTTGCGTGCGTGGGTGTGTGCGTGCGCGTGTGTATGTGTAAATGTATTTGTGTGGGCGTGTGTGCGTGTGTGCGTGTGTGCGTTCGTGCGTGTATGTGTGCTGTTAAATATTTTCCTTTAGATCGAGTGTGTGCATGTGCGTGTGTGTATTGGGAGAGGAAGGCGCGTGCGTACGTAGCGTATGTTTATCTCTTTTCGCTTACGATTCGGGTCAGATAATAAAAAATGCGCTCTATCAAATGTATCGGGGACTCGTACAAGCGCCAACAACACGTATCGAGAAGAACCGAGGCGTGAAGGTCCGACGATGAAGCCGCATCTATTTGCCGTGTCGTGGCGCTGCCATCTACTACCGTAGTCGAGAATGTTTCCGTCTGCTCGCTGCACGCACGCACGCACGCACGCACGCACGCACGCACGCACGCACGCGCGCACGAACGTGCGCATCATCACGAAAAATCGATTACGTAAAGGTTTGTGTAATTAAATACTATATAAAAGAGACCCGACTATCACGCGCATGTTCATATATTCATCATTATATTATGCCACGCCGGTGCATCGCGACCCAGTGTCGCCGCACACGTGTGTTCGGTTTGTATGGAAAGTCAACCAATCCACCGTCGGCGTGTTGGCGATCTAGAGAGACACCTCGACGTAAGTCAGTGCGTGTAAAGATCGGGCATTGCGCATACATCAATACTGCACTGAATGCTTGCATCGTACTGGGATAACCCTTTGTGTACGGAGAAGGTGGTTGTAATAAAACTGATCTCGCTGAACACTGGTCGGGCACGAGAAATCCTTCAAGCACGTCATCCGGATATTTTTTTGGGATATTTAGAAAAATCTGGATATTTAGAAAATTCCTTAATATTTAGAAGATAAAACACAATTTTCTCAAATATTAAGAATTTGTAAG